AGGTCCTCTGACCGCCCAGAGGAATTAATGTCCCCCTCCCAGGAAGTTCCTGTCCTCAAAGAATGGTATAACGAGACACAGATGTACACAGCACAATGGACTTCCTTTCTGCCCCTTCTTCTGGGAAGCAATAGGAAGGGGACATTTAAAATAGTAACACACAGTGACAGGTGGAAGTCGCCACGCTCAAGTGACAGATCCAAGTTTGGGTAACGCTTTAAATACATAAAAATGAAGACAGTAAGATACTCATGAAAAGACGAGTGTCTTGCAGTAAAAGATCTAAAACCAGGCTTAAATTTGAAATGAATGGGGGGATGGGCAAACAGCTCCATGATTAAGAGCACTCGCTGCTGTCCCAGAGGACTTGAGTCTGGTTCCCAGCTGCCTAGAACTCCAGCTCTAAGGAATCCAACGCCCTCATCTGACCTATGAGAGCACCAACACACTTGGCTATACTCTCAGAGACACACACATACAACCACTTCAGAAACCAAGCATATAATAATCTTAATATAGAAAGTACTCTAAATTATTTTACCTTCATGCAAGAATGCAGATAAATGGGTAAGCACACACACACACACACACACACACACACACACACACACTCGGACTCCATTTGACAGACTTCCAAACACAGTGCCATCTGTCAGCCTGAATGACTTCACAGAGTTGTGACAAAAACCAAGCTGGCTTCTGAAGCCAGAGAGGCTTGCACGCCTGAAATGTCACTTTGAGCCTTCCATCATTTTCACAATGGAACAATATTAACACTAACTTTACTTCTGACCACTCTTCCTGTGGCAAGTAGCAAGTGTTTAAAAACAGAAAAAAAATTGTGATTTCTGTACCCTTAGAGCTATACCTAAGAAGAAAAACTGAGAAAACAGCACTATATAAATTATATTTTATGAAGTGTTACTAACCTACACAGTGAGGTGCTAAGCCCATAGTAGAGATAATACCTTTTATTTTTGTGACAGAAATACTTTGCTCAACAGCACTGTCAGTCTGTAAATTATGTTATGAACAGAATGCTTCTGAAGAAGTGTTAAAATCTAGATTGGAATGCTGAGGGGGTGGGTAGAGGAACAAACATGTTTACAGTCTGTTCAAATCTGCAACTTCAAATGTTTGACAGAAATTGTTTAGTAGGCTCGAGAGAAGGCTCAAGTCGGTAAAGCACGTTCTGGGTGGGCAGATTGTGAGGACCGGAGTTAGGGTCCTGAGCATGGGCCTGAAGGTTGGCATGCCTGTAACTGTAGCACTTGGGGCGGAGATGGGCAGATTCTGGGGTCTCATCAGCCATCCAGACTAGCCCACTCGACAAGTTTCAGGACACTGAGAAACCCTGTCTCAAAGACAAGGGAAAATTGATAGACACCAACTTCAACCTCTGGACTCCACGAGTGTGCGCATAGGTTAAGTGCACCTATACACGCGCAGGCATACACACACACACACACACACACACACACACACCATTTTAAATGTGTTTTAGTTTATAAGTCAGAAGTTGTTAAACATATACTGTTAAAACTTTTAATGTTCAGACTGAGCCTGCCACCAACTCCCAAGTCCCATTAAGAGAGGATCTAGGACTTCTTTTTTTTTTGGGGGGGGTTCCGAGACAGGGTTTCTCTGTATTGTTTTGGAGGCTGTCCTGGATCTCACTCTGTAGACCAGGCTGGCCTCGAACTCACAGAAATCCGCCTGCCTCTGCCTCCCGAGTGCTGGGATTAAAGGCGTGTGCCACCAACAGTCACTCTGTGCCTCTCTTTCTGACCGGATACCATCACAAAGACCTGGATGCTCACTGGGGGAGTTACCGGTGTGCTGCGCTGCTGCAGTGCCTCTGTGGTCACTGGGTAGGCGGTGCCTCATGCCTCATTCCCCAAGGATTATGGATGTTCAATTCAGTGTGGCTACTCAGTAAAATGGTTAAAACGATGTGAGAGAGGCTTCACGGCCACAGAGTGGGTTAACCCTGCATCTCCCATTCATGGAGAACGAATCCTAAGTTTATTTATTAACGTTCTGGAAAGAAAAAGTAAACATGAATGCATCCTACTGATTTGTAAATAAAACCCAACACAAAAATGAGCAGAGCCATTCAAATGTACTTAACAAAACTTCAGACTACTTCTCCCTGAAAAGCAAAACACCCAGGGAGACCAGATCGTATATGACTGCATACAACTACAGAAGTATAAAGAGTACCTCAGTTCCGTTCCATTGGTGGACATTTATTGCAAATTAAATTCTGAGTCACAAACTACTGAAAAACAATGCACTAGGACCTGGGTTCCTATACTCCCTCACTGCCAACAGCTCTGTTAATGCTACCGTTCTCATTGCTCACTTTCAAACACTCGGTGTGCCCAGCATACATGTCTCCTCTGCCCACTGACAAAAACACCTCCTGTTCCACAACAGAGAGCCTATTAACTGATCCTCTTTTCTCTTGGTATACATCACAGCTACCTTGCGCGAGAAGCCAAGGCCAGCCCAGGTCTGTAAGCGATTAGATGCAGCAGGAATGGCAGCACATTTAAAATAATCAAATGGCTCACTTACTACAGTTGGGCTAAATTGAATGTTTACAGATGAGCAAAACAATCTCAGAGCTCTACACACATTTACACACTCAGACAGATCCCAATGAGCCTTGCCACTGAAATAAACACACTGTCATAGAAATGTAGTTATTTGACGACAGTAAACGTGAAGTGACATCATAGTAGTGTCACCAGTCAGAGTCTTTCATTTCCTGGTGGCTATTTTGTGCGCAAACATGGACTCCTATGTCTTCATCAGAATTTCTGAACCCCAGAAGCATTACCGCCTGGAGAAGCAAAACCCTCCCTTGTTGAGTCTGTCCTGTGGGCTATGGGTCACTTAGTGTCACCCTGACCCACTCAATAGATGCTTGTGGCATCCCAAACCAACTATGGCAATCAAAAATGTCTCCACACATTGCCAAATGTCCCCGGGGAGGGGGGTGGAGGGGGGACACGGGATGACTGCCTCAACAAGAGAACCACAGATCTAATCAATGCCAAGTCCTTTAATCTAGCATAATGACAGGACAAGAGCTGACCTACAGGAATCTGCACATTACATAACAACCTAAACTAAAACTAACAACCACACTTCTCTTCACTGAGCAATTATTTGCCTTCCTTTAAACCTGCTTCCTTTCATGTAAAGTTCCTTCTCGAAGCACAAGGGAAGCCATTTGCCAGCGATCTTCAATCTTTTCCGGGAGGGACAGAGCCAGCCACTGCAGTAGACCCAGAGCTCACCCTCCAGGGTCGGCTAAGACACAAGCACGGGAAGTTCTGAAGCCAAATCGGCTTGGGCTCTCTCAGCCTGACCCAGGCACACCTTGCCATGACAGGCTTGTGGTTTCCACTCAAGCAAGTTGTTCTGCCGGCTTCGTGCAACCCCAGTTTCACTTTAGCAGTAATTTAATTTCACTGAAGGCTGGGCTCAGGTACTGACTTCTTGTCACCGTTTTAGGCCCAGCCACTCCTGAAAGCGACTCCAGGCAAGTCCTATGTGCAATACCCCTGAAATTAGGGGCCAACGAACATGTTTCGCCTGGTTCTCAAGTAGAGGCTGCTGAGTTTCAAAGTGCTGTGATTGCAGAGGGGAACTCACTTCACCTTAATACACATCGCCCGCTTAAGGGAAGCAACAGTTGGAAGGCTAAAGTTCCTATGCCCAGATAGGTCATAGGAAAAGAAATTAAATTAACAAACGCACTTCTGAACGGAAGAGAGAAGGATCTTGGGTATGGCAGAATAAGTATTTTCAGCAATACAATTTAGGATTTGAACTTTCAATTCAACAGAAATGTGGACAGACTCCCCTTCCAGGCATGTATCGCCTCTGTGGAGTAGGGAAAGCACTACAGAGAGGTGGGTGTTCCTTTGAAATATTTACTGTTCGATTTTAAAGGTGCTCGTGCTGATTAAGGCTTCAGGTTAGATTACCAGGAGACAGCGCAGACTACCATAAATATTTGTGGCATTGTTTGTCTTCCTGAAACAATGGCCATGTTTCCGATTCCCTAGTTAATTTTAATGACAACTAAGGCTTCAACACTGGGACATTAAGCACGTAATCTTTATCCAAAGCATAGACAGGGTTTTCCCTTTTCACTATTTCTACACATAGAACTCATTTCCTCACTTGAAAAAATGTTCATTAGGTCCAAAAGCCTGGATCAGGAGGCAGGCATTATTTCAGAATTATATAACTTCCATGTCACATTTACCTGTCGACACAATTGTATTCGTGATTTCCTGATTGTAGATTAGGCTTGTAGGGGAAAATTCTCCTCACAGCTTAAAACCATTTTCCTGAAACCATTCACTCACACATGAACACTACTGCCCACATAAACTCCAACAGAACAGCCACCGATATGTGTGCATGTCCACTTTTACCTTCTTGTCCAAAGTATTAAAATACTGGGGAAGGGTTCATTATTTTAAAAGCAACCACAATCAATGAGGTCCTTCCAAATATTAACAAGTAACTTTCACCGGTGGGTTTTTGTTTTTCTGTTAGCAATCACGTCCTAGTTCCAACTACCTAAGAACACTTTAAACTGATTATTTTTAAACTTAAGTTATGGTAGTAGCCTCTAAATTCACTTCATAATTATAATGAATATCATCACCATTAGCAACCAAACAGTATCGTGCTGGAAAACATTAAAATATAAACTGCCACTCTGGTCAGTACAGAGATTTACAACAAGATCATGGCATGGTATCAATTACAGCTGGCTTCTCAGTCCCCAAGCCATTTTTTAAAGTCTATTTTGGAATGAGACAGAGAGAGGAAAGATCGTTCCATAATCACAAAATCTCTCAGCAATTATTTTCACTTAAGCTTCAAGCCTTTGGTTTAAAAAGATATGCGTATCTATTACAATTATATATGGCATATTTATTATACATGTAAAACACACCAGTGAAACTTACTTGACAGTGACTCGATTTGATAAATCCTGTAGATCCCCGGGATGAAAAAGCTGGGCTTCTTTCAATCCAATCTGTTCACAAGCTTTCAAAAAAACGTTTACATTATCCTGTGAAAAGAATTGGAAAGTGATTGTTTAGCCGAGCTTGCTCTCAGACAAAGGTTACCAATTTTTATGATACAACTTCCCAGCTTCAAAGTCCAATTATAGTCAGCAAAATAGGCGGTGCAAGAACACATAAGTGTATCTAAAAGGACAAAAAAGTCGATGGACACGTATAGCCTTCCAGTCTTCCAGAGCAGAAAAGGTGGTGCTATCTTATGCCCGAGCGTACACTCTTTCTGTGATCTTTGTGACTGGCACGTTAAACATTACCTGTTATAGGACAAGCGCCTAGCCAGTGAGCAGTAATCTACACTTTGATGTCAGCTCCGCTCTGCAAACAAACGCCTTCCCTCTTCCCAGCTTCGCACGACAAGCTTCACCTCTTTAAAAATAACTCCAGCTACTGACATTCACCCACCCAGAAACTGTTGGCAGGGAAGAAATACGAGGAGGAACATTCTGTTTCTATGATTACAAATTACAGAACGGCTGTGGAATACCACACCTGGAATCTGGGTTTGGTTGCTGAGCCAGCTCGTGACAGGCACAGGCACCATGCTATAGGACCAAGGAGAAGCCAGGAGCTTATTGGCTGAACCGTACCATTGGGGCGTGGCCTATTACTCATTCCCTGCACCTGTCTGAAGGGCTGCCTCCAAAAAACATTGGAAACCTATCCCCCACCTCCAAGCCTGCCCTGCTATCTAATTTCAAAACCCCAATCCTCCATTCACAAACCAATGCTTGCCATTATGCTAAGCTGCTTCGAGACCACGCTAAATTCTATTTTCAGTGGGCTGCACTGCAACCACACACATTGGTTACCAGGATTAGCTTTGGCATCGCCCCTTCCTGCTCTTGAAAAAGAAGTACTTTGTGAGGCTGAGTTCCTGGTGACTCCGCGTGTGTACTCTTTTCCTTTGCTTTGCTGGGGCTGTGAGTAGGGGAACGGCTTGCTCGCATGCTAGCACACGCTTGTCCACTTAGGTTGGCTGGCAACACCGACTCTACGGCATGGGCCTCCCTGGAACCACACCCACCTCCCTCCCGAGTCCAGGTCCACAGAGCAGAAGGCAATGTGCCACTTGGAGGTAGCAGTACTTCCTATACACAGGCAGCAAAGTCAGGATGAGAGGGACAAATGAGAAGAGGAGGACGATTCGGCAGCTTAGGTTCCTCAGAGACTAAGGGGACTTCAGGAAAGGACAAGAGAAAGTGTGACCAGAGAAACAACATGAACTGCCAAGGAAGGGAGGGACACCGGGAAAAAAAAAAAAAAACAACAGCAGCAGCAAAAACTGTTTGTGCAAATGGGGTGCTCTAACTAGCTAGGAACTAAAATGTTTTATCCTTTGAAATAAGTTGGCCCCAAAGACCACAATTTCTAGGGGGTAACAGAGTGGAGAGAAACTGAGGAAGACACCCAAAACTGACCTCTGAACTCCATATACATGGGTTCATATATACATACACATATCCATGCATACATGAACATGTACAAATGACATGTGTGTGCGTACACACACACACACACACACACACACACACGTATAACTTCCTAGCAAAATTCCAGTAGAAACACAACGATAATTTCACTTTTAAGCTTACAGCTTCTAAATGCTATTCTATCTATAACTATTTGAAAACACAAACCATTTTAAGAATTCCCATTCTCTGAAGAGCAGACAACAACATAACTCATTGGGCCAATATCCCACACCGGGCAGGAAGCAAGTCTCACATAAAAGGGGGAAAAGAAAATATTAAGCATTTTCATATCTGCCTGCCGAACTTGCTTCTGAACACTTAAAGTCACATAAACTGAGACTATACGGCAGTAAATGCTTACCTAATAAACACAAGGCCTCAAAAGCACGGTGCCTGGAACCACAAATAAATAAATCATAAAGTACTGAAACTAAATCAAACATAGAATAATATGGAGGAACTAAGTAAGGGTAAAAAACAACCGGCATATTTCACAAAAACATAATGGCACTCACCTGGTGGACGAAATGTACGAGCTGATAAGGCAGAAGCCATAATCCCTCAAAACCATTTAAGTATTTAGAGAGAAACCACTTCAAATCGAAAGTGACGAGACTCCAGCAGGAACAAAGTTCAAGGAAAAATACAAGTGCGGTGATTACATCTTAGACTCGAGCAAAGCTTTTTATCAGCCACAAAGCAGAATGCTGTTTTAAAAGCTTAGTGGTACTCGGTCAAAGCAGGGAGACGCTCTATATAAATTCACACATGGCCTATGCACTGGAAGTGAGTTCTACTCCAATCAGGATTGTAACCTACATCATGCATCTTGGACTGGGGCCCACTGGTAATTTATTTCCTGCAATTTCAAAGGATCTAGGCAGCACATTGCCTCGGGGGATACACAAAATTATAAAATAAAATTTCCATGTCTGTTCCAACATCAGGCAGCCACACCCAGCTCAGCATAATAGAAAAGAAAGAATTTAGCCCTCACTAGATGGAATTATTTTCGTTTGAAACTATCAAAAAAGGAAGGGGGTGTAAAACAAAACAATAACACCAACAAGGTCCAAATGGAAATCAACCTCATCTAATTGGCCTGGGAGCCAGGACTAGCTGTAGGAAGATTAGTTATGCCTCTGGCCCCATTTTCCTTACCCAGGCAGTGACTGGCACACAGATCTACAACCCACTACACAGGGCAGACAATTCTCTCTGCAAGAAGAGGGGTGCCCAAAACCCCAATCCCTCACAAAAGATTCCATAGCCCACTTATTAGAAAAGACTTCCCGTCAAGGATCCTGCTTTAAACACAATTCCCCCACCTGCAGTGCCAACAATAACTTCTCAAAACAAACCAAAATAATAATGATGATAAGCAAAACATAATGATAAAACTCATTTGCAGTGTTTGCATGGGAACGAAGAAAGACAAATATGACAGAAAAAGAAATCTTGCTATTTTCACAGTCTCTCCAGCCCCCCCTCCACCTCTGATTAATCATCAGGGGAACAAAAAGTGGTGTTTACTAAGGCTTTAGGATAAAAATGCCAGAAAGATCTACAGAGTTCCCCAGCTCCGTATCGGTTGATTGCGGGACCTCCGTTAGGCAATGCTGCAAAATGAATGATCCCCAAACGGCTGCATCAGAGACAGTGGCGTCAGATAATTTCACAGATTCTGGAATGTGGGGTTCTGACACTGAGGACCCTCATCAAACTGTAACTGTCAGCCCAGTCTGCAGCATCCAAAGGCTTCCCTGGTTCTGTGGCTGTTCCCAAGGTGACTGACTCATGTGGATGGCAAATGAGGGCAGATTTTAGACGTTTCCACACGACTACCTGCTAGAGCCAGCGATGTGAGAGGACAAAGCAGAAGCCCACTTCCTGGCTTTTAAAGTCTTCTGTCATTTCTATACTGTTACAAAGACCAGCCCTGTTCAGTCAAGACTACATCAGGCCATACACACCATGTGAGAATCATCAGGCCACAGAAGAATATTGGCTCCAATACTTCAGAGTCTGGACACTAGTGATTCACACCTCACTCATACAAAAAAAAAAAAAATTCACACTCTCTCCCAAGGCCTCCGGAATTCTGGTTACTAACATATTTGTTTAGCATATGTAGTGTGTGTGTGTGTGTGTGTGTGTGTGTGTGTGTGTGTGTGTGTGTTAGTATGGATGTATGCACGCCGCAGCACACATGCTGAGGCCAGAAACAACTCTGAGGAATTAGCTCTCTCTTTCCACCATGTGTTCTAGGAATCAAAGAAGCCAGGTTGCCAGCCTTGTGTGGCAGATGCCTTCACCCACCGTCTGAGTTAGAGTTGCTGTCGCTGGGATGAGACACCATGACCAAAGCAAGTTAGGGAGGAAAGAAATGTTGCAGTCCATCACCGAAGGAAGTCAGGATAGGAAATCAAACAATGTGGGAGCCTACAGGCAGCAATTGAAGCAGAGGCCTTGGAGGGGAGCTGCTTACTGGCTTGCTCCTCACGGCTTGCTCAGCCTGCTTTCTTTTTAAACTCATGACCACCAATCCCAGGGCTGGCACCACCCACAGAGGGGTTGCCTTACTACCACCAACACCATCAGGTACCAAGAAAACGTCCTATAGGCTTGCCTACAATCTGATCTTAGGGGAGCATTTTCTTTTTTGTTGTTTCTTTCGTTTTTTGTTTGTTTTTAGAGACGGTTTCTCTGTGGTGCTTTGGGGTCTGTCCTGGAACCTGCTGTAGACCAGCTGGCTTTGAACTCACACAGATCCGCTTGCCTCTGCCTCCCATGTGCTGGGATTAGAGGTGTGTGCCGCCACCACCTGGCTCTAATGGAGGTATTTTCTTAGTTGAGGTGCTCCCTCCTCTCAGAAAACTTTAGCTTCTTATCTAGTTAATATAAAACTATCTAGTACAGCCACTGAGCCATCTCACTGGACCATAAACCCCAAATTCTCATCTCTTATCAAGGTGAAATCAAAATGTGGAATTATCATCAAAGTCGGCTCCGGTTTTGCATGAGGTTTCAAAAAGTCCCACCCTGAAGTAGAGCCATTGAGTACAGCTCCTCTCAACCCAACCACCTGTGAATAAAAAGGAAGTGCCGTTCCTCTTGTCCTGAAAGCCTGCTTTACATACATGTAATACCTACACTACTTTCATGGCCAAAGGTGAGAGAGACCTCAGAAGCAAAAACTGATAACTCCTCATGATATCTAAATAGCTCCTTTTTGTTTACAGCGTTGCTATGGGGATAAATGAAGGCAAAAGCACCAGCAGGGGGAGGAGGGGGAAATACTGAGACACAAGCCTTCTCCACTCTGCAGGTGAAGGTGTGGAGAAAGGAAAGGCACTCAGGGGACCAGGGGACGCCTGTCCCTGGACAAGCTGGCTGTTTTCCCATTAGGACCCAAAGCCAGGGAACTGGCTTCACAGTTTCTGGTTCCTCCCCCTGGAGTCTTCAGGTCACCTTAAGCACCATCTTTTCCCTTGCAAAGTAGCCTGTGTGAACAG